TTCAAAAATCACAAAAAAAATTTTATAGTTTCCTTAATTTAGCAAATGTATCTTTTACCATCAAACTCCAAATTACAAATCAAACGTGTTTTTTAAAAGCTGATTTATCAGACTTGGATATTTATCATACGTAACTAAAATAAAGGGGGGGGCCAACTGATTTAACTGCAAGATAATTTATGCTAAAACTAATTTTTACACTGGAAATTTCTTGGCTATATGCTAATTATGGTACTGGAGCAATATTTTTACCCCTCGTAAAATTAAGAGCACAGACTAGACTTTGGTTTGGTCTTTTATTTTGTTGAAAAAGCGTACGTTTTATCTCCTGGGAAAGCATTAAAATAAAAAGCATGACTTTAAAGCTATGTCATCTTCACAAATAATATTCATGAAACCTTAGTGCTCATTACACAAGATAAAAATAACACGAGCTTACAGTCCTTAGTAGAAGCAGACCAAGCACGGCAGATGCAAATGTTTTAAGCACAGCTCTCCAGTACAGCACACTACAATTCACCCCAGAGAAAGAATGTTGGCCAGGATCTCCACCACATGCAAACTGCATTTAAAGCTGCTGGGCCCTGAAACTCCATGCAGCAGTTTGAAACTGATCCACAGCCTTCCTCCTTCACCTACCACTTGGGGCTAATACACAGCCATGAACTTCTATTGAGGAAAACCACAAAAAGCTTCAAAAAAGCTACAACGGTAGGCTCTTCTTTCACATATTATTTTAAATATCGCTTGTTAAGATGTGATTCATCGAACAGTCTTGATAAATGCAAAGGCCACCTCTAATTTTTTAAGTTTCAGTTACCTTGAACAATTGTAACAAGCACTTAAATATGTCACTGCATAACTTTAACATCCCTACAGGCAAGAGCCTTGCTGCGTAAGTCAAAAGCCAGGCGTTTTAGCCACTGATTTTTGACAAGCCAGCATGTACGATGCAGCACCAGCAACTGAGTGATCCTGTCTGAGGTTACTTAAGAAGAAGTCTGAAATGTGCATCACTGATAACCCTAAGAGAATCTTCCCCCTCCCCGTCCCCCAAATCCTTGGTTAAATTCTGTATTTTTTCTAGTCTGCAATACTATCTGTGTTATTCATAGTTTAAATTTAAAAAGCAATGCTGTTAACTAAAAATAATGATATCAGTGAAAATTACAAAACTAAGAAAATTAATATTATGGGTTTTCCTATATGCTTTATCACCTAAAAATAAGTGTAAATGACTACTCTTCATTTTCAATTTGAAGTTTAAGTTTTAAAACTCCTAGAAGTTATTTCTATTCATACCATTACAAATCAAGAGTTCTTATAAAATAGCAAAGTTGAAATACGATATTTTTAACTCACATGAGACAGGATCATGAGTCTTCATTTTAACTATTTATACTACAGGTATCCTAAGATTTCAGTTGCACACATATACCTTTGTTTAAGGCACCTAATTATTAACAAACTGAAATTATCAACATTGCTTGGGTTTTGACAGAAAAATAAATAAGACCACTTTCTGAAACTATTTTTAAGAATGTCACTGATACTTGAAAACTTTTAGCATCTAATTAAAGATCACTAAGGGTTAAATCCTCGTTCCCTGGCCCCTACTGAGTACACCCTGCCAAAAGTCCTCTAAGCTTTTAAATATTGCTTCGATGGTCTGCGCTTTACTTCCAGGGGAAAAGAGAGCACTGTCCCAGTTAGCAGGCCACTAGCTTATTAACTTCCAGTCACCTTGATTTTTGCTGAAATGAAGACTCTGCCGTCTATACTTCTCCTGCTCCTGTTTGTGCCTCTGATAATGCCAGCAGCACCGACTCAGCAGGACCCACGCAAGCCCTATGATTATGGAACAGATAATTTTGAAGAAACCTTGTTTAGTCAAGACTTGGAGGATAAATATCTGGATGGAAAAAATATTAAGGTATTTTATTTCTACTCTAAATTTAACTTCGAAAACAGTCACCCATTTAAATACATGTTTTTGTTTTTTAATGTGTCTGATAAGGTAAGGGGAAAGAAACAGCACTTTAAATGACTGGAAGTAATTCAAAATAACTGTCCCCAAGATTATATTTTTAAAGTATGCATGCCTCCCATGGTTACCTGTGGTAACCAAACAGTATCTATAGCAACCAACACAAAATTTAAAAAACTAAACTTTAAGATGATATCTTACTGGTTGAAGATTTATAAGCAATGTTATACAACGCCCTACATTTGTGTATTATATTGTCTCAAAATAAAATAGGAGAAATGTGTATTAAGAGAAATAATCTTGGATTACCAGCCTAAGGTTTATTATTTTAGGAAGAAGTGGTTCATGGAAATAAATACTGCTTATTTTGGTGTCCATAGCATTTCACAAAAACTTACACATGCCAACTATGCATGGTACCGAAAAATGAAAAACTCCTCAATGTGGGGCTTAATTTTTAATGAGTTTCAACAATTTAGACTCTATCAATTTTTACCAAGTGACTGTAATTGTCATTAGCTAATACTCTGCAGGGATGACTTCATATCACATCCTTCATACTCCACTTGCATGAGCTGAGTAATTACTTGTGGTTTTCTTGGCACAAAGAAATGAATGCTGGGTAAGGAAAAAGTTAACCCAGCACATAAGTATCTGCTCCTGCCTACTCTGTGTGTGTGCGCGCACACAATGGAAAATGAGAAACGCAGCCAAATATATAACAATGTTGATTGTCTTTTTTTTCTTTTTTTTTTTTTTTAGTACACAGCACCAAATGTTAACACTATAATTTCTTTCAATGGAGTTGGTTAATATGCTAGCATTATTTTTGCCCAACATTAAGACAAAAATGATAGGTATCACTAGTCACAGCTTCAGAATTTTTAAAAAAGGCCTATCATAACAATAAGCTATTGGCTTACATCGATGATTGGAATCTCTCAGTTAAAAAAATAATTTCAAACTTCCGTGCTCCCTAAAAAATAGTAAGTTCTTGCTTTTTCTCTTCACATTGCTTTAGAAGTCTCTGCTCTTCATATAAATGTAGGGACCAAGATATTTGTGAAGTGGAGAAGAATTCAACAGCACTTAATACACAAACTCAGAGTGGAGGGGCTGCTCAAGCAGAACTCACATGGGAGGATAAAGAAGTCAAGATGGAGATGAAAGGGGAACATGTTTTCAGAGGGTAGAGACTGGGGCCCCACGCGATCTACATCAAATCTAATGGCAGAAAACGTTCCCTCCCAGGACAGGAAAGAGTGATACAGACGCCAGGGCTAACATTCTGGACTGGGGTTCCCCGTGGGGTGGGTAGGGAAGGACCCGGTGCAGGGCAGGCATGTAGGTAATGATGGGTCACTTGCAGAAGAGACCAAAAGCTTGCTCAGTGCCCTGCACATGCGGCGTGACTAGTGCTGCAATCCTGCTTAACAGGGTAGAATCTGGCATCGGGAACTGAACTCAATTAAGACAAGACCATAAAGAATAATTAAAGAACTTCCCTTGATAAATATGATCTCATTTCAGGTTCCACTTCAGAAAAACTTTCATTCTGAGTCAGAGTTCCCTCCAGCTTCCATTTGGAATTTCAATATAGTCAACATTTAGGAGGCACGGAGTTCGGCTTTTGGAGATAAAACAATAAAACAGACCTGGTTCTTTTACTCAAGGAGTTGACAGTCTGGAGTGAAAACAAGCTACACAAATATTTACCTTACAAGCTAATGAATGATGATATGGAATTACGTATCAAACCCTATTGCAGTGCAAAGGAAATGACACTAACTGTGACCCTACGGTGTTTTGGGTTTTTTGCTAAGATTTATTTATTTATTTGGCAGAGGCGGGGTGGGGCAGAGGGAGAGGAAGAGAGAATCCCAAGCAGACTCCCTGCTGAGTGCGGAGCCCAACGAGGAGCTCGATCCCAGGACCCTGAGATCACGACCTGCGCTGAAGCCAAGAGTTGAGGCTCAACCCGCGGAGGGACCCAGGCGCCCCATGACCTTAAGTTTTATGGTCAAAATTAGACGTTTTCAGACCTGATAACAAAGTTTTATTTTTCCAATAGGAAAAAGAAACTATGATAATACCGGAAGAGGGAAGTCTTCAATTACAAAAAGATGAGCGTGTAACACCACCGCCCCTCAAGAAGGAAAATGATGGTAAGTGTGCATACCCTCTCATCTAATTATCTCATTAGGAGCTTTAATAGATAGCTTACTATGGAACTTTATTCCTTGCGGTATTAAAGATGGCCTCGGGATACGTTAAACTCAAACAGTGGGCTTTCTTCTCCCCTGAGGAAGATAGCCATTGCCACCCCACATTACGAGTGAGAAACGCAGACGGAAACATTCAAGAACAACCAAGTACAAAGCGTGTGCCTCTGTCTACAGAAAGGCAATTCCAGAACAGTGATTTAACGACAGCGATCTGCAAATACTATGTGCAGCCTGAGGATAAGGGACATAAAATGAATTCTTAACTTCGAGAAATTTACAGAAGACACAGAGATGGCTAAATACATAAATATTTATAATACACATTTCTATGAAAACAATAGAGAATGTATAAATAACAAATAACAAAGTCCTCCTTAACAGTTCCTGTCTACTTGGTTTATTTTTGCTCTGTCAAAGAATAGCGTTTCAGGGAGTGCCTGGGTGGCTCAGTCGGTTAAGCGGCTGCCTTCAGCTCAGGTCATGATCCCGGGGTCCTGGGATCGAGCCCCGTGTCGGGCTCCCTGCTCAGCGGGGAGCCTGCTTCTCCCTCTCCCTCTGCCTGCTGCTCTGCCTACTTGTGCTCTCTCTCTCTGTGTCAAATAAATAAATAAAATCTTTAAAAAAAAAAAAAAAAAAGAATAGCGTTTCACACGACAACATGAAAAAAAATCGCACACTAATTGGAAAGACATCCCTTGCTCTTGGATAGGATGACTCGGTATCATAAAGATGTCAGTTCTGCCTAAATTGGTAACAATAAACTTCTTTACAAAGCTGGTAAGGTTGATTCTCAAGTTCATGTAGAAAAATCAAACCTCCACTAATAGCCAGGAAGTCACTGAGAACTGACATGTATCCACGGAAACAAGACATACCACACATGAGAACATACTTCAAAGTATCTATCCTAAAATACGTGTGATACTGGTGCACAAACAGAATAGGAAGTTCAGAAACAGAAATACCTGTAGAAACTCAGTATATAATAAAGAAGGCATTGTAAATCACTGAAGCAAAGATGGCATTTTTAAAGGTTTTAAGAAAAACTCTACACCCAACGTGGGACTCCAACTCACAACCCCGGGATCAAGAGTCCAATGCTCTACCAACTGAGCCCTCCAGGCACCTTAACGATGGTATTTTTGAAAAAGAGTGTTGGACCCTGAAACTAATATTACACCATATGTTAACAAACTGAAATTTAAATAAATTTAGGGGCGCCTGGGTGGCTCAGTCGGTTAAGCGTCTGCCTTCGGATCAGTTCATATTACCAGGGTCCTAAAATCGAGCCCCTCGTGGGGCTCCCTGCTCAGCAGGGCATCTGCTTCTCCCTCTCCCTCTGCCACTCACCCTGCTTGTACTCTCTCTCTGTCAAATAAAATAAAATCTTAAATAAATAAAAACTTAAAAAAAATTTTTTTTTTAAAGATTTCATTTATTTATTTGACACAGAGAGACACAGCGAGAGAAGGAACACAAGCAGGGGGAGTGGGAGAGAGAGAGAAGCAGGCTTCCTGCGGAGCAGGGA